ATACAGTTAAATGCTACTGTTTAATGATATTAGAGCATGTTCATTTTGATATCACGTGAACTCTCTGTGGTATTCTTGGCCTTAAAATGAATTGAAAGAGTAGAGAATAGGATGACAGTTATTTTAACGGCTTCATGAAAAGATTCGTTCAACTCACAAACAAAATTTTTCAAATCCGCGGATTTATCCGGGACCTGTGTCACTAAATGCTTGAATTTTTTCAGCATAGTCGAGACTGTCAAACTCAGATAGCCGACTACAAAAAGTCGGTTTTGTGATATATGTGTTCTTGGAAAGTTTGACGAACAGATTGCCCACAGCCAATGGGCTACTAAGCAATGTAAACTGTCACCACGAAGAGTATCGTAAATGTCACTGTCAAGACGACCAAAATATAATCTTACCCCTTACTTGAAATCATGAAAAACGAGGTAGTTAGATTACCATTGTGAAAATGAGCAAAACATGTATTTACTCAGACCGATTTGCCACTTTTGTTGTTTTGCATGTCAAAAAGTATGGTGACATGCATTCCCTTCCGAGATTCTGTATTCGCGAATTCAGATTAGATTTTTCTTGGAAGGAATATTGATCTCGGCTCCGGTGTTTGTTATGGGATTGATGATGTACACACACTTGACAATATATAATATCTAACACCATTCTTTAATAGAGGGACCTTTCAATAAAAGCGGCCGCTACCGGCCAAATTTCGAACACTATATATCTGTGTTTGTCATTTACTTATCCTTTGGCTTGGGTTAATGAGGAGACATAAATGACTGTATCATTTTATTAACATCAAATTTCACAAAAGAAACGGTTCAACTGTATCGATATTCTGACATCGCTTATATTCCGCCTCTTCAGGTTAATAACTTTGATTACTCTGATTCAGGGGGTGGCACTTTTATTGTCCAGTGTGTGTATATCCAAGGTAATTTGATTTTTTCGTTTTTTTTTTTTTTTTTGGGGGGGGGGGGGGGTCGGAGAACAGACGAAAATCGGTGCGCGCGCAGGATGTCATCCATAAAAATAAAAAAGTGTGGCCTTATTGTCAATTTGTTACTATTCGGTCATACGTGTAACTTTCTATTGCACTTCAACTTTAAGCTACACATTGTTTTTTAAGCTTAACGTGATGTTGTTGTTATAAACCCATACACAGCACATGTACATGTATAGAGATTATTTAATTAGGTTAATCAGTAACTGATATGACGTCATGATAAGTGATACAACATAGAGAGGGGGGTACGTGACCTTCTTCATTGTCCAGCGAAATTGATTTACAGCTTAATCATAATCATAATCATACTGGTCAACACGCGTTCGAGATCTTTAGTATCGACAATGAGGTGTATTTGATACTTGTATATTTACCAGTAGGGGATAATTTTCCGGCACGTTTTTGTAAACTGTCATATGCATATGTATACGTATCAGAACCACAGTTCTTGCTGTATGCATGCATAGTTTATGAACACAGTGCTGACTTTGTCCATGACAGAAACACGCTCATGATAGTCGACGGCGTTGGTTGATTTATACTATTTCCTTGTGAGTGGGAGGTCGGATATATGTGGTTGGAACGACGTATGCCAATTATTTCATCAACACAGATCTTACTAAGTCACTTAAGTACTTATTGTATTGACATGTAGAAAAGATAGAAATTTTGGTTTTGATGCGGTGCTTTGGGCGTTGTTTACGTTAAATCATTGCGATGGGAACAACTTCCTGCCCGATTGTCAACGCCATCTCGTTTAATGCGACCTCCTTTACATAATAATAATAATAAACGCGATCTTATTTTAATATTGCACTAACTTTGTCTGCGCTCATTACATAAAATGCGAAAATGTGGAACTAAAGAATGATGAACGATCACATTCATTTTGCAAATATCCGTTTCACATTTGAGAACGCCGAAAGCATAGGCCCGTCTATCGCCTGTTCACTGCCTCTCACATTGGTTGACCCTTTAGATGAAATGATTTAAGGTACGCAGTTAGATTTGCGTTGACATCATTGATAATGGTATCATGTGTATAACGAGTAATCTTAAAATGATGTCTTTAATGTAAAGAAATTTGGTCCAAATCAATGACTTAAATCCTACGAAACCGATTAAGCAGCTGCGCAACTGGCAGACTGCCTCCGGTACCAGAACAATTTTCTCAGTTTCAACAGCGCTTCAAAAATCTTCTAGAATCGTTAATAAAGTTGTTAACAGCACAAAGACAGATTGGTAGCACGCGTCATCAGTTCGTTAGCATGCGATGACATAGACCCTTGGTTGGTGATTAAGTCAGGCAATGAATTGATACAGAGTAAAGATCAGAGGTTTCTTTTGTGTTCTGAAACTTAAAAAGATCACCACAAGTTGCCAACTTCTAGGTTTCTTGTGTTGGAAATTACTTGTGCATTCCAGTCATCGTATGTCTGAGCATATTTATTACATATGCTATGGCGATGAGCATTATATCCATATGAGATAGCGATGGGCTTAGTCAATTTTGTTTTAATCTTGACTGACTTTTTATTTTTTATGCGGAATATGGCATACAATGTTTGACGGGTCGAACGATCAAATCTATGGCATTGGCTGCAACAAATTGGATCTTGCTAGATAAGTTCAGTACTGATTACTTTGCTATCTCATAGAAACACTTACACACAGCAGGCACACGATAAAATTAAGCTATTTTCATTTTTGAATTCATTGTATTGTTATATACCGGTATGTATAAGCCAGACCAAAGGTATCACTGTCAGAAAACCTTCAAGAATCGGCTGAAATATCATTGACTTACTACAACTTCCTTTTGCATGTTTCATATCCCAGCTACTTTATATCACATTGGACTTAATGACCTATTCTTTGATGCAGGAACTTAAGCGCGTATCAAATCTGACACATCAATAATAATATACAGTCAAGTGCTAAAACACAGTTGGCAATGATGAAAGAGCGTGGTCAGCTATCACGTAGTGAGGTCGCTAATGCGTATGAGAGAAAGAAGATAAGTGGCCTTCTTGCACATTTGCTAACACGTTTCACATATTTCGAAAGATCTAGCGATACGTTCATTTTTCGAAATTCAATTGCGCCACTTTTTACAAAATCGTTGTTTTATTGATTATATTTGCATAACTTATGTGACAAAATTTAAGGGGAAGGAAAAGTCACATATGTCACATTTAATATCTCTGTCATTTGCAATTTCAATTTTGTTCCGCAAATTTGAAGGTTACGATTTCTCCTCGTAAATTTCAAAGAAAACCTGTTTTAATACATTTGCGCATTTTTGATATCGGTTTGATATCATCTTAAGCACAGCTTTGGTATTCGTTCATATGCTATACCTTCCATTATAAATCTATCGGACATACATGAAGAGTGGGTGAATGAAATCCAGTGATATGGAATGATGGGTAGAATGACCAAACTTGGAATTTTAGAGCGATAAGTTTTTGTTTGACAAACGATTCTTTCAAAATAACATTAAAAAATACAATTTGTAATAATAACGTCTGATGAGTCATTTTTTTCTATTTATACGGAGGATATATGGAAATAATCCCATGGATCATTAAGGATATTCCGGCATTCCCTGCAGAGTGCATGTGAAAGAGAGACAAACAAAAATAGTTTTTGTGATAGTATCGGGGATAATGATACCTGGCGAGGGGATTAATGCTGATGGAATTATGCAACTTCTTAAATAGGCATTACAAAGTATGACGTTTCCTTGTCTGTCTTCAAGAGCAACTCAGCGTGAGTGCGAGACGCGGTTCTAAGCGTTGTGGAGCAGATGTCATTTTTCCACCTAAAGTACAACGTGAAAACATTACTTGTCGTTTTTATTTACCATGATAAAACGATACATCTATCACAATAATTATATGACATTAAGTGCACCATTTCAATACTCAATAAAACACAGAGTCAGATGAAGTTTCACAATTTCTGAAACACTAGAATGAATTCAAACCAAAGCACTGAATATAGTTGTTTTTGCCCTCTGCAGCCAATTAAACAGAATCATTACTGAAAAATTCTGGAAAAGTCGACTTCAATAATAGCTTTAACAACACTAAACTCACGGTTACTGACGAAATAAACAACTAAAAGTAAGGTGGTTGATATTATCCATCGAATCTGTTGTATCAGTACAAACATTATAAACATATCCATTTCCCTCACATGTGAGGTATTATTGTCAGCTATCTTTTGATAACGTTTCAACGATATAAACTTTGGAAGGCAAAAATATACCTTTCTTCTCGTTTTTTTTCTTAAAAAGAATGCCTTTGAACGTGAGCAAATGACTGATCTTTAAATAATAACATGTTACGCATTTTTTCAGTTTTCTTTTCACAGATTTCGTTGTCTTTCACAAATGCTTTTTGTCTCCATATCAAATACAAAACAACATCATAGGAATGTTCTTGGATGATTTAACTTGGCATCTTCATAAACGATATGTCTAGAGCCGCCGTAATCGTCAAAGACAAATGAAGTGAATGAGTGAAACAATATTAAAGCACAAATGTAAGTACAGAGATATAAATCAAAGGAGTTCATCATGAAATTAATCTTTTTTTTTATCTAGTAGTCTTGTTCCTTACATCGATTTACTAATTTGTCGAGGTGTCAAGAAAGTGGCATGTTCCTGGCATCAACAAACGTTATGTTACTAGCAGTATCAACAGAATATAATGAAGCAGTTAATTTGCACACTCGATTTTTCTTTCAATAATGACTGAGATTCCATACTGATGAATGCCTTTCTTTTTAGATTTGTTCAATCAAATGCGCCACCAAAAACGGAATGAAGCTGGTAAAACCGTTTTTGATAAATACGCTTTGTAATCATAATAAAGTCTGGTTCTTCTGCAAATCGCATTTATCTTAGTTGATGGTTTGTGCATTGCAAAGGCGCCATATGCACACGGTCATATAGATACGACCTTTCTTCATCCATGCTGTGTCATTATACTGGTGTCCCAGTGTTATGATTATGGTTGCAGGATATGTGGTGCCTACTGTCCGCTTTTGCCAACCGTCCACTGGAACAGAAAATGTCACTGATACGCTGATAAAGGCGAACATACCCATGCCTAACGTCCCTTATACGGAGACCATAAATTATAGGATCTGCCAAGGAGTTGAAGATAAAAAGAATATTTGTGACCATGGCCACGGCATCAGACGACTCTGGTCGTTTTGTATGTGAAACGTCGAACCCAAAGTAAATAAAAGCCGTTACCACGCCCGGTACCCAACACACGAAGATTGTTACCAGTAGAATGGCGACTGTAACGTTCAGTTTTGCTTGCTCGTGGTCTTGCGGATCACTTGCCAAGTCGTGTCGATACGAAAGGCTTTCTTTTATCTTAGTGTACAGTTTGTACCATATAAACACATTCAAAACCATAAGGAGCATCATGAAAATTCCAACATGGCCTTCTAAGGCCACAAAATATTTGTCCATATGAGTAATACAGTCTGCGTTAGGGTAGATGATATAGTACACCGCATGGAGAATCACGAGGGGTACAACTGCGCTCACGTAGGTGAAGGCAATATAGCACCGAATGCGGCGTTCCGTCACAATGTTGGTGAACCGTAGAGGCCGCGTGGCAGCAACGAACTGGTTCAGCACCAGGCCAGTGGTGGCTAAAAGCGGCGGCACGAGAAGGTGAATAGATATGTCCATGACGATCTGCTCGATGCAGCTTATGGAGCGTGTCTCCGGTGGCATGGTGGCGTAATTCACATACCCTACCCCAAGGTACAGTCGAATAGCACACACCGCACAACAAAAGAACATCAAGAGAAAGTCTGCAAAGGCAAGATTAATGATGAGTTTTTGGAAACTGTTCATCGGCCTACGCATGTGCTTGAGAGCTAAAAGAGACAACGCATTTTGAAGCAAGCCGATGGAAGTTATAAGTCCGGCAACTGCTGTGTATGTCAGAAAAACACTTCCACTGTAATAATTGACAAATAGCGTATCGTTTCCCAAACCTTCCGTGTTTCCTATTGAGGTAGACATGTTATAGAAACCTGTTCTCTGCGATGGAACTCGTAGAGCAAGCGCAGGAAGAGCCTCTTCCGTCCCATCCATTCTTAGACGTCTGTGCTGGTAATGGGATGTCTTCTTTAACGGTTCCTGTGATGAAGTGGCAAGTGCGAATATTTTCTCTAGCGACAGCCCTTTGCGTGACGCAATTGGCGGTGTCTTTATGGCTGCGATCTTCTACGGTATTGGCGGGTATTGCTTGCTCTAAAGAGACGAAATTAAAGTAACATAAATACAGAGATCAATGTTTGTTTCAAATAATTGGTAGTTTGTATGCTTAATATAACAATATATATTTCAGGTTATTTTGGATGATAACAACATTAAAAACCCAATAGCAAATCGATGGGTTTCGTTGTCCATGCTGCGGTATTAACATCCAGGCACTCTTTATTGTTGGAATGTTTTCAGTCTTTTAACCCTATTAACTCACTCACGTAATATCCAGAGCTATTTCTTTTGCTAACTGTGTGCAGATTTCCGCACTGTAAGCAAGAATATTTGCACAGAATCGATGTCGTCAGTCAGATTGCTTTTGATAGAGTGTCAATTTTTCTTGTTGTACCGCATACTTTAAAATATTACCTTAAAAGGTAAATTTTAGAAACGCTAAGACCTTGTCCAGCTAAGGTGACAATTGCACGGCTAACAAAATTTGCATTATCATTTTTTAATGAATGGAGTACAGTTCATACTTTTCACGACTTACACGACCTACTAGACAAGACTAAACCTGCTTTTGATTAGTGCTTGTAGCATGAAACCCTCCTTCTGCGGGCACCTACATAGTTCATCTTGGACAAACAGCGCATCGGTCTGATCGTTTTTATTTTACTTTAAATAAGGATTTATTTAATAAAGCTCGTTTCTAGTTTTTGTTTCTAGAAAAATCTAGCAGTAAAATTGACCTTCCAGTATGTCATACAACTTTTTTTATGTATTCACGTGTTTTATGCTGCTAGATTATAAGACGATGTGACATATAAATTTAATAATCTGTTTCAATATCCCATTTCATCAACCCTATTTCCATGCCAGATTTTATTAGCTCCTCACCACAGGCTGATATTTTTACAGACGAAGTTTCCAGTTACTGTCATAAATTTTACGTAATTGTAACGTGATACCTTTTGGATTTCATGACATTAAGTAATGAAAATTAGATTAAGGAACGGGATGTGAAATTACCGTATGAAAAAGACATATCCTTGAATGGCACACCTATGTCCGATTCACGTGCTGTGCTTTCTAAATACAAGAGTTAAATTTCCGTTGCAGAAGACAGTATTTATTGGCCTAAAGAAACATTGAGTCAACAAATGGCTTTTTCACAGACTGATTTTCGAGAAACGTTGTTGAAAATAAAATTTGACGTGCAGTTCCATTGCCCACTAATTCAAAATATCTAAATTGAGTCTAATTCAATTCCTTAAATGTCAATCTCCTCCGGAGAAAGATTCCTTTCACCTGAGTATGATAGAAAATTACACTTTAGATTTAAAGTGAAATGTATCCTTGTAAAAGTATACAGTACAGATCTCATCAGAGCCCAGAGCGGTAACTCCATAAGCCTTTTTCGCTGTATGTGTCTTCCTAACAGCAGAATCACGTTTGTCTTTTATCTAATCAGTAACAAATTGGCATTTGGATATTTATCATAGTAATTGATTAAGTAGTACACGTAGTAAACGATACCTGTCAGACCTACGTCAGTTAAAGGATTTCAGTCGAGAACAAGTTGCACAAATGAATTTAAGGTTTAATCATATATCAAATATTTGCAATAAGTGAATAGGACATTCTTAATTTGTAGGCAAATTTCAAAAGTAAGGCATTCTTACAAAATTTATGTGCAGAGACCTAAACTCAATGTAATGAAATACATTATCTTAAGAGATTATTTTTTTTCATCCAAAAGAGAACGACATCTAAAGACAATATTATACACAATGCATCCAGATGAACTTATTTTTCTAACATAAAAAAATACAGTTTCTCCGTGAAAGTAGCAAACATGTGGCCACAGAATAGCCTACCGGAACTAGTGGTGAATGCCGAGTCAATAAACTCTTTCAATAATAGATTAGATAATAATTGGAATGTGGAAAAGGTACTCTATAATTATAAAGCAGAGTTTAGGACTCAGATTGCTTTAAGTCACAAACACCTTATGTGACTAAGTTTAGAGTGTGACGAAGAGGACCTGCCGGGGCCTGTGCCAGAAAATAACTGTAATTAAACATAAATAAGTAAGGAAGGTGAATAATTGGACGGAAAGTACAATGAGGCGGGGAGAAACAGATAAAGGTGACTTTTAGTTATCGATTTATCAATATTCTGTATAACATAAAGGGCAATAATTTTTTCTACAGCTTATCTGTTTAGAAATGTAATATAATGTAGACCTATTTCTTAATTCTAGCACATGTAAACGGTATTAACATTAATCAAACGTACAAATGCGCGAAGCACTTGTTCATTATCCACAACAATTGCGTCAGTTTCCATTTCCGTTTCTGTCCGTCTCATTGTTAGCAGCTGCAATTTCTGCGGCAGTATGACATTGTAAACAACCTATTTATGTACACGGAACCAAATGTTGTTTTGCAGTTGGCTGTCGTGATATGTTATGAAAAAAATCCCCTCACCGATACACTGAATAGACTTATCTTTTACTTATCTAATTTTGGAATTGGTTAAAAAATGCCTAAGTGAGGACCAAAGACAATACATTTTGTATATGGAAACCATCGTGTCGGGCTCGTATTTTTTTTGTGTACGGTTTAGAATTTAGGAATTTCAATCAAAATCATGTTAACCAGGACAGATGGCATTTTGAAATAATGGAGGGACATGATACAAGACTTTAAGACGTAGGGTCATTAATGCCATTTATTTGCATTGGAGCCGGTGTGTACAATTTTTCTACGGTAGCCGTTGCCGATATACGTGTCACCCCACCCACCCACTTTCCTAATCAAGCAGTTAATAAACATAGTGATAAGTTTTGTTATATTTGACTCGTAATTCTTCTTGAAAAAAATTATGTATACCGCAGAAATGGGGAAAGAGCGAATAATGTTGTGCTCTCTCTCTCTCATCTGTTCCGATTCTAATGATTTCAAGTGGATTTTATGACCTACCATGCACATTGACGTTATGCCACGTGCTACATAAAAATGTGGAGTTGAAAAACATCCCCACGTCAATGGTAAGGTTACAAATAATTGTATCCTATTAATTGCAAACCTTGGCAATGTAAGCGGCAGTCAATCTAACCTGAAATCACCCTTTTCAACGCCTGGCTGCGCAAACAGCTTTCTTGATGATATGTTTTCTGCATATCGTTGGTGTGGGATTGATTTTTAGAGGAAAAAACAAAATAATTTTACCTCTGAGATTGAGACGCAGGTGATTGAATATATCAATTCCGCTTACATGTAATTGTTTACCCTACGTGACAAATACCTTAATTAGCCATTGTGCGTCCAAACGTGCTCTTCAATTTATGACCCGTTTTAACCATAGCGAATACGTTAATGACAATGATAGCGATAATAAATAAAACAGTATATGGCTAATATCCCCCCTCTCTTTCTCTCTCTCTGTATATATTAAGGGGGGGGGGGGTCAAGTTGGGAGAGGTATATGTAATACTGACTGACTGTGACTTAAGCCGCCCTGTCCGCGGTACCCTAAACCCATTTATTAATGTATACTTTTGGGAAAAAAACTCAATTTTCCTCATGATGCTAATCTTTTATGTTTAATGTTCAGTTTGACTAGAAGTGATGAGTAAATTTTAAGAAAATGGACCCGTGATAAGATTCCTTGAATGCAAACAGTCATCATTCCCTGTATATATATATATATATATATATATATATATATATATATATATATATATATATATATATATATATATATATATATATATATATATATATATATATATATATATATATATATATGGATTCATAGAAAAATATGTCGACAACTTGGCCTTTTTATACCAACAACAATAACAAGTTAATTTTGCACCTTGAAAATAACCACCAAGATCTGAAGAAAAATCGGTGTTGTATAGTCAAACCATGGTATCCTATACAAGGGATCCGAACAGATGTGCTCTTGGCCCTCCACGGCGTGGGACCTGGGTCCTGTTTCGTGTCCCAAAGAGCTATAAAGCCCTAACACTGGACTAAACCTACGGACCAAATTATGTCCATTTTTATACAAGATAAATCAGTACTAGGTCAATAAAATAAAATACTGTGTCTGTCATATAACAAGCAAGACATGGCGTGTGCTTCAGATCAATACTTATCAAGTGAACTACCACTGCTCTATCTTGCACTCAAGTAGACCACATTTCGGGCCTAAACGTTAAGAGCAATTTTCGGTCTAAAATTTAAGACCAATTTTGGGGCTAAAGCCGTTTTGTGGCGCCGGTCCTTGAGCTGTCAGTTTATTGTGGAAGCCAGATTTCACTAACGTATACACATGCTGATTTTGCTTTCGTCTTGCTCTCCCTGGGAAAAAATGTCAAGGCACAGGACCATTTACTTCGGCTGAGCAACCAACTTCACTCTATTGCTCTTGATGCCTGTATGGTGATAATAATAAGATATCTTATAACATTTCAGATGACGTGACCAAGAAAGAAACAAACACCAAACAAGGAAGAACTTTGCTACTCACTTTCTCATGCATATTGTGAAATCTGTATGTATCATTCCATTAATAGAACTTCTTGTTGGGTATCGGATTTCGGAACGCTTTGTATGGCTCACTTGAAGCAATATCTGTTTGTTACCAAGTTATAGGCATTCATCACTGCAAGCACCAGACTTCCTTTTCACCCGTTACGAGCTGCGTGGTATTTTATCGCACAGGAACGTGACACTCAAGGACTAATTGGAAACAAACAGAAATCGGCAACATTTGCATTGGTAACTCAGACAATCTGATTTCTTATGATAGGTTCGTTAAGATCTATTTCCTTATCCGCTTAGATATTGCAGAAATGAACCTTGGTATTTTAT